TGCTGCCGATGGATCACAATGTTAAGTGAGTCGAGTGACTGAGTTTTGTATCTTTACTATACACAAACAACACAATTCAGTATTTAATTCGGACCACACTCGGTCTAGTTCTTATTCATAAAAATCCTGGGCAGTCGATTTTCATAAGCTACTCTATAAGTGAATTTTTTCCCAGCAAAATAATCACTTGGTACCAAGTCCGGACTAAGAGGGGGATGCGTAGGAATCTTCCAACCGAGCTCAATTAGCTTCTAAGGATGTATGTGGACTGATTTTGTCTTGGTGGAGCACAATTAATCTTCTATTGGCCAAGGCTAACCGCTTCTGGACGATTGTTTCCTTCCGGCGGTGCAATTGTTGAAAGTGCAGATACGAATTAAGAGTTTGGCTGGGGAGCAGTTCATAGCACATGATTGGTAATCCCACGAAACGCATAACAATACCTCTCTAACCGTCAACCTTGGTTTGGGCATCGTTTGCCCCGGTTCACCGCGATTGGACCACGAGCGTTTTCGCTTGACGTTGCCGTAAGTGATGGAAATCGGATCCATGAGGTTTTAGATTAATTTGTTATCGAGCTTATTTTTCTATCTAGCCTTATTTAAATGGTTCCAAACAGTTTTTTGTGCAATATTCCCATGGGACTTTCGAAGTCTACTTGATTCAGGGCTAAAGCTAAATGACCTTTTGAAAATGGGAAAGAAATTGTACCGGACTCCAAATCGGGAGACCTAGGCGGATGTCGAGCAACTAATTCGTCTTACCGCAGATCTGCAACGATTTTGCCCTTCTTCAAGTAGTCAATGTAGATCAACCCTTGTGAATCTCAAAAAACGTATCCCCTTTCCTGATAATAGAACAGTCTTTCTTTTCTTTGGATCAGGTTCGGGAGGGTGAACTCCACTGTTTGAACTGTTTCTTGTCTCTGGTGTGTACCATTGGATCCACGTTCCGTCGGCACTCACGCAACGATGTAAGAACCCAACACTGCTGTGTAGTGTTTTCACGGTTGTTTTTGTGCGTATATACTTGTATTAAGAAATGTGCATGTTACTACCTTTCTGTTTGGAGTAAGTAAAGTGCGATATTAATGTCTTTATTTTCGGAAGTTCATATCAAGGACTCCTCAAATTGGCTTATACTTTTATCTTCCTTGCGACGAACATGCACATTTATACATATATACATACATAAAATTCTAAAATACTACGTACCCATTCAAAAATTAGCTACAAAATCCTTCAGAAAAACACTCGATTTTGTCCGCCAAAAAATATGCTACTTTATAGCTGACCGACATATCATCAGAGAAAAAGGAAGCGAAATAAAACGAAATCAACTGCAGTGCAACGGATTTAAACTGCTGTCGGAATATGTAGCTTTGGCGGGTGATGTTGTTGTCGTTGTTTCATTTGTTAGTGCTAAGCCAACAAGAAGAAGAGAAGCTTGGCATTTTTTGCGCCATTATTAAGCGACCAGCGCATGAGGTCTCGTCTGGTGGCAGTTTATCAAGCTGTCTTTCGAAAGACATTTGTAAAATAACAATAGACAACATAAGCCACTGTAAAAACAATAAAAAAAACGTCTGCTTGAGTACAAAAACAGCAGCAAAAGCTTAAACACCTAAAAGTATGCATTCTCAGCGAGCCACAAGTGGTAATAGCGGTAAAAGGAATGCAAAAAAAATATATGAAAAAAGAGAAAATAGAAAATGGCCAATTTGTAAATCAGCGATATCCTGACTGGCACGCCATAATAAAAGGTAATATTTTTTGTTATTATACCTTGAACAGGGTATATTAAGTGTGCCACGAAGTTTGTAACACCCAGAAGGAAACGTCGGAGAGCATATTAAATATATATATATATATATATATATATATGACCAGCCTTACGAGTTGAGTCATTTTAGCCATGTTAGCCTGGCGGTATATACGCAATCTGAAATTTTGCATACATCCTTTTCTACCCAAGGAGCTGAACGTTTCTCGGCACCGTCGTTTATCAGACCACTATAGCATAGAGCTGTCATACAAACTGAACGATCAATATCAAGTTCTGTATGGAAACTTCTTTATATTTGAAAAATATTTTTTCTTTAATGCAACTGAAACTAACGCTTTTTCTTAGTTTTTTTAGATTTTCGAATTCAAGCTTCACCAACAACAATGTGAAATACAAACAGTTATACTAATATATATACCTAAATATCTACAGACTTACAAGGTGCGTTCCAAAGTAAACAGTAAAAAAGTAACAAAGTAAACTCTAGTGGCGCCATCTATATGTCGATTAGTGCGTTATAATCTATTATCCTTTATCGACTTCCAGTAAAAATTTCATGACATTTCATCTATGGGAAGGGAAGTTATTGCGGGCTTCGAACAAAGAGCCAACATTAAATTTTGTTTTAAAATTGGTAAAACTTTTACCGAAACCTTTCAATTGATGAAACAAGTTTATGGCGATGATTGACTATCCCGTAGCAGAGTGCACGAGTGGTTTCAACGTTTTCAAAGTGGTCGTGAGGACATAAATGAGAAATGAGCCGAACCCCAAAAAATCGCGCCTGGAGAAGTCAAAAGTGAAGACAATGCTGATTTGTTTTTATGATTCCAAGGGTATTGTCCACAAAGAATTTGCTCCACCCGGCCAAAACGTTAATGCGGTATTCTACCTTGTAGTTTTGAAGCGTTTGGTGCGCCGTATTCGACGTGTTCGGCCCGAATATCGCGAAGATGGAAGTTGGCGTTTGTTGCACGATAATGCGCCGTCTCATCGGTCGACCCTTTGGTGCCGCTTATTTGACCAAAAATCTCATTTTAACAATCAACCACTCCCCGTATTCACCTGATATGACCGTGCGACTTCTACCTTTTCAGAAAAATGCGTTTGCCGATGAAAGAAAAGCATTATGCAGACGTGGAGGCCATTCAAAAGGCTTGCACCGGCATACTGGCGGCCATACCGGGCAACGAGCTAAAACACTCGTTCGACATGCTTTTGGACCATGCAAAAAGCTGTATTAAAGCAGAAGGAGACTATTTTGAATAAAATTAATTGATTTTGCCGATAAAACCATTTGTTCTGTCTTTTTTTTAAGTACTGTTTACTTTGGAACGCACCTTGTATAAATGATGTAAATTCAATCAGGAAATTATTCCACCAACTTTCATCATTCACCTAAAAATCATAAGCTCTCGCTTATACACAATCTCACCAATTCTTCTCTGCTATGTCTTCTATTGAATTAGTTTTTGTCAAAGTTTAAATGTGCTGATAAAATGTCTATTGAATGACTTATTGAAAATCTTTAATTTGTTTATAGCTTCTTTAAATTGAGATATTCACGTACATGACTCAGATACCATTTCTATTCATTTGTACTTTAGAGATAAGGGAGCACGTGTGCTGCTACCGGTCCTCTCAATAAATCATTTATAGCAAATAAAATAGCGGATAAATATAACATTTATATTTACCATAGAACAACAAGAAGCTATCGGTAGATGAAACACCTAAAGATAGCAGAAAGTTTCTGCCTACAAACACAGATAAGACCGCCACTGTTCTCTACGTATTGAGGTTTTTTTCGGTTGTTCATTGCTGTGAAAGATTAGCTTTAGTCTTATATTTGCGAACAAAAATTGCACTATTTACAATAACTTTACTTCGCTACTATAACACTACTAGATACCTTCTTTTTAGTGCGGGTTTCGAAAAAAATTTGATCTGCTCTATATGTTCTATAAGTTTCTGAAGGCTGCCATTCAAGTAATACAAATATATATTTTTCGTACATCTAGTCTTTTATGTACTTACTCAAATCGTTTTATTGCATATTCTACTAATCGTGAATTAAATATATTATAATATTATAGTAGAAGATTCTTACATTAAAAGAAATTAAGGCTGTTCCTAAAACAAGACAAGCAGTCAACATCGCTTCAATTCATTATTTATTATTATACCTACTTCCAAATTTCCTGCTTAAGTACAATAATATTATCATCGACCAAAAAAATTACTTTCTATTGCAATTAATTTATTATTATAAAGGTAAAACCAATCTTGTTTATTTTCCAAGTAATAAATGAGATAAAAGGTTTTGGTTTTCAATATATTAAAATAGAAATAAGAGAGCTAGACTCTGAACGTAGATAATCTATTTTTGGCAATAAATTCAACTATATTAGAGACAATTTTCATCGAAATTGACAATTAACTGTAATAATGAAAATTAGTAACTTACCGTCCGATTTTACGCATTTTCAGCACTAAACTACAGTTCTTTATTCCAATTGAAAATTTGGCCATTCTATAGGATGTGTCGAAAACTAAATAAATTTTACATTCCTTAATATCACCCTGTAGCTCCTTTTATAAAGCTGGTTAGTCCATAGAACTATAAACGTATCTAAATATGAAATATGTTGAAGCCCTATTTTCGAAAAAAGTTATAAGAAACGTGTTTTGTAGCACTTAATATTACGCAGTGTCATATATGGTATATTCGTTAGTAGCGAATTTCTACCGGAAACAAAAATATCAGAATTGAAGACCTCTCTTCATTTCATTAAAGGAGCGGTAACCCCTGAAGCATGTTTCCCAATCTGAATGTGAACATAGAAATCTAAAGGTATTTAAAGTTAACACTAATCAATGATTAATCTCTTACTAAGAATTTGTATACAAAAGTAATCGAATATATTTCTTCCCACTTAATGCGCTGCCAGCCAAAATCACAAATTTCCAGTAATTGAATTTTCTATAACAAATTATCAAGTGCAATTCAATTTTATACCTCTAGTCGATAGTAATGAAATCTCAATGAAGTAATAATTAATTTGATTAAAATTCAACAAAACTAACCGCCTTAGCTTATCAGTTACGAAGGCATATTTATGGCCTTAATTTGATAAGATTCCGTGTCAAACTCCGATGGTCTATAATTATTTAAATACCAAATACCTCTTAAGACATTAATAGTCTTACGCGAACTTCGAAATGTATTCGGGTGGAAAAGCAGTGCAGCTTACGTTATCGCTAGTTTGCTTGTTAGCCGCTGTAGAGGCAGGCATATTATATTCAAAAGAGCCTGCAGTGAAAAGTTTAATTCTAAATACTAAGGATGATGGACCCCGCACACCATATCGAACATCGTCCACGGCTGCTACATATTCCACACCTTCATTCATAAACGTAACTGATGGACCTACCGACGTAACCACGGACGGACCGTTCAGCAGCACAACACCACCACCAGAGATTAGTGCTGGCGTCGTGGTGCGCGGTGACTGTGCATTCGATCTGAATGGCGATCTCAATGATCCAGCACCGATTTTCACGCCACACAATCAACTTGAATGGCTAGTGCCGAACCCTGCAGGCATAGTCGAATTATCTAACGGCGCCTACATCGATATGTACTGCAACAAGTCATTTATAGCACCGTTTAGCAATAGCACCAAAGTCACAGCACAGTGTCTGCAAAATCAGTACTTCCTCGTCGATGGCCTGATTTATCCATTCTCCAATTTTAGCTGTACCAATTGGCCAGCGTATACGGCACGTCGCACCGGACGCCCCTGTAATGGCGGCACAGATCTCCTGGAAGTTGGCTTCGAACTTCCCACGGGTTTTCTACAAATCATGGATATTTGCCACGATGAAGTGAACGAGGTAACCCGTTATGTTCACCACAACCTAAATCCCTCCAGTGCTGGCTATCAGCATGGCGTCTCACGTCCAAGCTTCATTACCGGCGACTTTTATGCTGGCAAAAATGTGAATAATCTCTACACGAAGGTACAACAAAATCGAACTATCAGCAGAATACTCGGCATGGATGCATCGCGATTTTTCAATGACACTCTCGATGTGTATTTGGCGCGCGGTCACATGGCCGCCAAGGTGGACTTTATTTTTGGGGCGTCCCAAAAAGCGACGTTCTACTTCGTGAATGCGGCGCCGCAGTGGCAGATGTTCAACGGCCGCAATTGGGAACGTGTGGAGGACAGTGTGCGTCGATATGCAAGCGATAAGGCGTTGGATTTGGACTGCTATACCGGCATTTGGGGTGTTTCCACGCTGCCAGACGTAAATGGCATACAACGCGAATTGTACCTAGCTTTTGATGAGAACAATAATGGTCTGATACCTGTGCCTAAAATCTATTTCCGCGTTGTCATCGATCGTAAGACACGCAACGGCATTGTTTTAATAGGTGTCAATAACCCGCATGTGACACTGGAGGAAATCAAAAAAGACTATGTGATTTGCAAAGACGTGGGTAATCGTATCAAGTGGGTTAGCTGGGATAAAGAGAACCTCATGAATGGTTACTCATATGCCTGCGCCGTTGACGATTTCATATCGGTGGTAAAGGACTTACCGTTGGACGAATTGTACACAAGCGGTCTATTAGGTGTGGAAGAACTGATCATCGAAAATATACCACTTTAGAGCTAAAGCTCACGAAATTGGCGTTATTAAAAAGACCTTCCAAGGCAATAAGTGCAGGGCTTTAATAAATATTTTCGAAATTCTAAGCTACCAACAGCAATGTATTCGAGTGTTTCATGCATCCACTTCTAACTTTTAAATTTTGATAACGGCGCGTAATAAATCTACAAATTAGGATCATACAGTAATAAATATCAAAAATTTATTGTCACACTTTATTGCCGGAAGAAGCACAGCATTGAATAATATTGGGAACTTCTTGAACACAGAATTTTTTTTTTCTTTGGTTGCCTGGCCTGACTCCTACTAACATAAACTTTAAGACCAGAAAACAGCATTACCGAAATCAATTAAGCCTTCCATCCTTCCATGTACGAATTAGTTTAATATGCCAGTGGTATTTTCAAGGAAGTATTTACCGAGGAATTTCTTGAGATTTCTTCGTGTATACTTTACTTCACAAGTAGGTGGAGCTAATGCTAGGTGCACCTATGAAACATTATTATTATGTGCCAACAGCTAAGTAATTAAGCTGTCCATAGATAAGTATTTATTTGCCGTTGTCGATTTTTCGTTTTAACCTCCGGATTAACCGTAAGATAGCGAACTTTATGGTTCCCAAAGCTCAATGTTGATATATTACTATGAGAAGTGACGTATCTACTTTGATAATATTTAATTTATACTGTTAATGATCACGAATGTTTGGCTGTTTTTCAGTTACTAGCAGTTAACATTATTAATAAATTTTCTTTACAAACAAGCTCACCACGGTGGGGTGAAAATATTTAGACTACAAAATAAAACCGCGTACTTCGTTATCTTGACGGACAGTTGATAAGGAATACAAAGTTTCAGTTCATTACTTTGTTTGGAGTGTGTCTTAAAGAAAATTACATTACTCGTGGTGGTAAGGTGAATACTATTTTTACAATAACTATGAAATTTTGACAGCTCACTGAAGATTGAATTTCTGTTGCAGGGGGATATAGTTTTAAAAATTTGATATATGAAAGTGTCGTTGATAACGCAGACATAGATTAACATAGATTAAATGTACAATACTTATAGTTCCCTTCGCTTATGGAGACTAGAAGGACTTCCGTTAAAATTCGTTCCTCAGATTCATAATGTTTCGAGCAAATTTATTAATGATATTTTTTATAACTTTTCTAAAATGATCCGGATATGCATACCACTCAGAGACGTGGCTACAGATATTATCTTAATGCTTTGTATACTTACGCAATAATTGTACCAGAGTTCACTGACGCAATAGCTGGCTAAAGAAGTTTGTCCTAATCCACATCTTTTCTGCAACTTTTAAAATAACGTCAAATCTTTCAAGATATTGTTATTCCACATAATTCGCTTCGGATTCTTCTTCATATACCGCCCAGCTTTTGGTGAATACCCATATATCAAGAAATGCTTGACCGCTATCGTAATTTGGTATATTATCTTGACATTCTTATATTTCAGTGCAAAAATGGGCGAAATCGGACTACATCCATGCCTACTTCCCATATAACACAATTTTAAATCTCATCTAATTCTTTTACTTTCCAGAATCCAAATGAAGCTCCAATGTATGTATCAGGATAAAATTTTGCACGAATAGTGCCTTGGAGGTGCGCCACATTACCCGAAAGTGTCCAAATCGGACTAAAACTATTCAAGCGCCCATATATTGAATATGTGGACCCCAGTTCCTACAGCGAACATTTGATCGAAAATAGCGGTCAATCTGTGAGATATTTTATAGTAATTGAAAGAAACTTTTTTTCTGATATCAATATGTCTGTATGTCAAAAATTAAAATGACAGTTTTCTATTAAAGATACAATTAGCTCAGATCAAGGTCGTATTATCTTCGGGCAATCTAACTTTATTTAAATGTTTCTTCCCACTTTTTATCTCAGCATTGAAACTAGTTTCCAAATTGCACCGAAACCTTTGTTTTAATATGGCTAATGAGAAATCTCGATAACATGAACTTCTATTCAATTCTCTCACGTTTCTTGAAAACTTATTAGTCTTATCGAACCGAGTTTGCGTATGTTGAAAACTTCAGGTCTTATACTCTGTAGCACTTCAGATGTTCCATAAAGCAGTATACTCGATTTTAAATAATTTTCCCTTTTTATACTCTCGCACGGAGTACAATAGTTTTGTACATAGAACGATTGATTCTAACTAACTAATCGAGATAGATAGAGGGTTTTAAAAATCAAAGTGATCGGAATGAGAAGACGTATGGATTTCTGGATACATTTCCGTCCGTCTGTGCACATTGGTACACTTATTACCTAACACTCTGAGGAATTTCGTTTTGCCACTGCCACACCCACATAACGTCATTAATCAAGAAAATAGTTAGACCAAGATTTAAACTAAAAATTTAATTTGAGAGAGAAAAACTTAGTGGAGGGAGACCTTCGTTGGTCTAAAACTCAGCCCACTGAAAAGGTTATTTTAGCATTTTTTAAAAAATCTCAAAATTAATGAAAAATATCTTTTCTAGAATTGCTTGATACAATATAAAAATAAATATAATCAGTTAATAACCAGGCCCACTCATGATAAAAAGAAGAAAGAAATGTCAGAGACGCTAAAAAAAATATACATATATGTTCATTATTTTAGTCCGCATTAGCAATGTTCGTATATCCAACTGTCTGCCTATATATACGCAAAACAGTCCTTAGATGAAAACTCATGTTTCAACAATTATTATAAAGTTGTATCAAAATTTCAGTTAATGCTTTAAACTTGTGTAAACTTCTAAACTGTAAAATTGCAGTAATCATAGAGTTAATAGATAAATGATAAAAAAGTTCAACGGTAAACACACCATCAAATACATTTACTGTTTACCTTAAATTTGTGTTCATTGAATTGCTCATCTGCTTGCGCTTGTGTATGAGTAAACACATAACAATTTACGTGAAAATGCCAACAATGAAGTGACTTTGTGGCATTGTAACTACTAACTAATATGTTAGCAAGCCCTGCGCCAAGCCGCTTTAGCAGCAGCCAAGCATTCAACTGAATGACAAATATTTGCATAGCAAAGGCAAACAACAAACATACAATCGTGCAACAATGGAAATATTTGTAAATATTTTTACTGAATTCATTATTGTGCGCCAATTGGGTGCCGGTGCTCTTAATGAATTCATCAAGGCTAACAAAAAAAAGTATATATAAAAACAAAAATAAATTAAATAAAAAAATTCAAAAAAATAAAAATTGAAAATATGAAGAACATAAAAAACTAAAAAACTAAAAAAGGAAAACAACAACTGCCACAAAAAGTAATTGCATTAAATATTGCATAAAATGCAGTGTTTCGTTAAATACTTGATTTTCATTATAATAAATCGGATCGGAGCAAATTAGAATAATTAATGCCACAATCAACTCATTAAAGTTGTCAACCACTAATGCCGTTTATCGCATTTCCCGCAGTCCCTACAAACCAAACCAGAAACCATTCTGAATTGTTCGAATCGGTTGACCTAATTGCAGAAATTCTCAACAGCGCTGCCGTCATGTTTTAATTAACTGTTAATTCGACCAATGATTCAACACATTTATTATCTGCCAATTGTACACGCTCGCATACAAGTATAATTAGTGTGACATATAGGCCTCTACCTACATATCGGGCATATTATAGCAATTCTCATTTGATATGAAAATTGATGGATTATCTGTCCGGTTGTCGGTTTCAAAACAAATCCACTTGTGTCCGCCACAATCAAGCGTAATTTATAACGGCATACACGCACATATATGTCAATTAACTCAGGCTGTTTGCATAGAAGCAATATCGCAGCGATATTAACATGTTTACAATGGTTGTATGTATACACATACAGTATGTAGCAAGCAGTGACCATCGGTGCGTATGAGTGACCTTGGCATTGTAGGTACACAAAGCATTTGTTAATTCCATTCGGGCAAGCGGTTCGTATTTTTGGCAAGTAGCACACGTGCAGTCGGATATTTTAACCTATCCATACCATCAGGAGGGCAAATACACCTATCTTCGATCTATACATGAATTAATGAACATCTTTATTATTTGCCTTCAAAATAGGCTCCTGAGCCAATACTAGTATACTAACGAATAATACAATTTTTCATATTCTTTTATTAAGCCTCGGCTGACAAGGCCGTCAACGCCTTTAATGAATTTTGGTTTTTTCCGTTTCGGACATTTTTTTTTTGGCACAGATTTAGCCCTTTTCGCGTCATACCCACAACATTAACCAAAATGGATTGAGTTATTCAGTAATAGATTTTTAGATCCCCTGCTATCTCTCTGATGCCAACACAACGATTCCAAGCACTGTGTATTTTTCTTTTTCGGTGTAATCGTCATTAGCAAAAGTGGATGGACGACTGACATGAGGCAAGTTTTCGATGACTTCACAACCTTCACTGAATTCTTCGTGCTACTCAAATACCTATGTTAGTAATAAATAAATCAAATATAGCAACATGTTACTATAGAGTATTACATTTTTGTTCCTGCACCTAAATTAAAACTTTCGGTTGAATTTATTGTACTTGTATGTATGAACATCCATCAATAAGTAAGATGTCTTAACAAATTTAAGATAACGTATAATAGATATAGCTTATATCCAAAAATGCGTATGTGATATTTCAATAAAATTTAGTAGATTCCTTAAAAATAATGTAGTTTAGTGTTGAATATGAATCGACTTGGTTTAGACCTTGGTTTAACCAATATATTAAGTTTAACTTCTGTTAAATTTTATCTTAAATCTCGTTTGAGTTATTTGGGTTGATTTAAAAATAAATATTTCGGACACGAAGCAACATATATTAATGAAATTAAGTAAATCTGTGACTTTAAGTATATTGATTGAAATCCATTTGGTTTCTTCGAATAGTGAATTTTGAATACTTATGCAACATTTTAACACTTTTGCCACATGTTGCAATAGAATATAATAGTTTGGTTCACTTAACGGTTGCTTGTATCACCTAAAACTAATTGAGATAGATATAGAAAAGATCAGGATGACGAGACGAGTTGAAACTTATCTTGATGAAACTTAGTACACATTTTCTTTGTCACGCCCACAATACGCAATTAATAGTTAATACATTACAAGACTGTTATTTTGTAAAACGAATTCTATTAGCGAGGGGCATC